GTAGTGTGAAAGTTAACAGACAAGAAGACCTGACTTAAGGTCTGTCCAAATGAAAAAATGTCTTTTAAGATTTCAGGAAGCTGCCTTTAAGGATTGAATTCTAGAAGCCAATGTCAACAAATGGACTTGGAAAGGATATTGCTGTATTGTAGAGATGTTTTCCCAGTGGAACCTGAGTTCCCCGGGCTCCATAACACTTCTACTTATCTAGTTACATTAGATATGTGTATACGCATTATTTATCCAGTCATCAACTACTTAAAGAGTATCTGATATATTATCAATGTTGTGGTAGATGCTCGGGATAATTGGTAGGGTGTGCAGAATAGTTTCTTTTTAATTTTTATAAGTACATGTTTATAGTACATAATGATTAAATTCATCATGTGGAATTGGTTCATGTACATAACACATCTTAATTGTTCTTTTCATCCACTTCCTCTCTCTGTCCATCATTTCTTGGTTCTCTTCTCTTTTGCAAAAAATCTATTATCATATTATCTATCTTTTATTTATTTATATTTCAGGTTTTTCATATAAGAGAAATAATGCAAGATTTAAGCTGGTTTGATTTATTTCACTTAACATTATGATATTCATAAGACCTATGGTGTAGGAATAGAGATACCCAACTATATATTTACAATAAAATCTGTGTGCTATGATAGGGAAACATTGGGAAGTGTGGAACTGTAAGGTAGAGAAAGGCCTTTAGAGCGTCCTTCAGGCAGCTCTAATGTGATCATTTACCTTCTTGTACAGTGTAGCTTCTCTCTAGTTTATTAAACTGCAATTGATTGGGCTCAGCTAAAAATCCTTTGCCACTCAGGTAGGTGACTTTGGTTAACTCATTCTATTTTAGTACTTTTCTACTGTTGTTGTACCTCAAGAATAGCACTTAATGGAACTGCTTGAAAATTGGTATTCTGTAATAACTGTGCAAGACCTACACTGGACAATGACAAGCAATGTTCCTGGAGATACAAACAATTTAGTTTCTGTTTTAAAAATGGGTTGCCAAAATAATTTGATCTAGTTGCTCTTCTCACAGCTGACCCAAGTAGTGGACCTTCAAGTTACAACTGGTCTGACATACAAACAATTTGTGTTAATCAGATTAATGGAAGATTCATCTGCCTCTGTTATCTATAATGGGTACCCAGGTAAACATCCAGATCTCAGTTGTATTGACTTACAACCAACTTGAGTTATGAACAGCCCTCAAGAACTGATTGAGTTCATAAGTCAAGGCTTCACTGTGTTGGTATTCATTAAGGCTTTAAAAAAACTGTGGAGTTATATCTTTCACGAATGTTGAAGTTATACCTTGAGAGATCAGAACTGCTGCTGTTTAGTAATTCAGCTGGTCTGAGTTTGTGTAACATCCTCTCTATTAAGCAGTTACTTCTTGTTACCAGAAGGCATCAAACAATCTGGTGCTGAAACTTGCCGTTCATTTTGAAGGGTAAACATTGCTATACATGGCTGATTTCTTTTCTCTAAATTTGGTTTATTCCAAAAATCTTATTAAAGAAAAGGTTGGAACATTTCTGAGACATATTATCAATTGAACAAATAGTTTAAGCCTTTATATTTTTTATAATGTATAAAATTATTTTGGGATTTCAAATGGAAAAATCTATTTCTTAGTATGTGATTGTATTTCTGGGGAGAAATGCAGCCATCATTTAAAAATATTCTATTGGAAAAGAGGTCTGTCAAATTTTTAATTTATTTTATTTTTCAGGGACGGAAAATAAATACAGCTTATGTTACTGGAAAATAGTAAAATATATCTACTTAACAAAACTAAGATAAATTTAACTTTTAAAATTCTTTTATATTTAGAAAACTAAAATTCTGAAGTAAAGGACTAATTTTTTAGATAATTTGAATTGTCTTTTATTTTAAATTTATAATCATACACTCAATGATTGATTTGTCGCTGGGTACAATCTATACCTTAAAAACTAACTTAATTTTTGCATCCTCAGTTTTATCTTAACATTCACCCAGTGTTGAGTGCAAGCCCAGGGAATGATGTTTTGCTTACCTTTGTTTCCTTGATAGAAATGGCAGAAAGCACTCTGGAACATAGCACTAAGCATGTTTTGTCATCTTCCTCAATGTCAATCCGTTCGTGATGAACCATTATTCTCACTCGTGAAGGGTAAAGTAATATTATTAAGACAATGTTGAGAGGGTCTTTTTCTCTCTCCAAGATGCCGTACTGCAGGAGTATTTTTAAGATACTAGACTGGCTTGTCTGAGCTACATAAAGTAGAGGTGTGATGCTGCTGAGTGGGCTTGGGCAGTAAACTGGTGTGAAAGTTCTGCGAATCAAAACAAAAAACTCATTGAATGTAGAACTAAGGAATGTAATAGTAATTTGAAAATAGTAACGTTATTTTAAATATTAATATATAAGTCTAAACCAAACTGAAGATTAAAACTCCAACTAAACATTTAAATTCTCCTTTACATTTACAAAAATAAGCAAACAAAAGATTTATAATGCATGGAAAATGATTACTTTTAGTCATAGCAGATCTATGTTTATCATTTGAGAAATCCATACTGATGAAGAGAATGATATAAAACTCATGAAGCTCTGGAAAATCTAAAATGGAAAGAAACATCTTTTGTATTTCATTTTATTAATAGAATTATGTATATGTTTTGATATCTTTTTTTTCTTGATCATATATCAGACAGGAGCCTGAATTAAAATTAGAGATTGAAAAAAAAATTAGAGATTGCATGAAAAAGAAATACAAAGACCTTAATTCTCTGAATGAAATTAGAATTGGTATTCATGAATTTAAGAAATGTAAATGATGGTTAGAGCTATAGCAGATCCCTCGAGGGCAAAATTTAATTTTCCTTTTTCAAGAGTAAGTTTTGAGTCTCCTCTAAAAGATTCCTTTTCTCAGAATGCCACAAGGTGGCTAGACTTGAAAATTTCTCCTCCCTTAAGATAGAAATGAAAATTTTAACTTTTCTAATATTATATGGTATTTACAGTCATTTTATTTAATGCTTTTATACTTAAAATTGAGCGGGTCAGTTGTAAAGTAAATGTGGTAGTGGTATTTCTGGCCACAGAGACTTTTAAGCCTTAACTTTGCCAAGTAATATGGTTTTTACCTCTAAGGGAAGGGAAATTTGATTAATGATCCTTGTCTCTGCAATTCTCTTGATTGGCTTCACAAAATACTAATTTATTCTGCAAACTAGCATACAAGTATAAATATTGGTTTTAAACTACTATGCTGAGAAAAGAAAGGGGAATTTTAGGATTGCATACTTTAAGTTACACTATATTTAATTAAGGTGGGAGGCAGCATGGTATAATGGCAGAAGAACAGGTTGGCATTCTTGGCTCTATGTTTTGATTCTCCTGACCAGCTCTGTGATCTTTGAGTATCAGTTTCCTCATGCATTTGTGTACCACTTTGCTTACTCTTTTATTAACTACAATAATTTATTTAACATTTCTTTGTCCAGAGTGTGCTAAAGAATAGCTATGTAGAAAGGAAAGATGTAGTCCTTGATTACTATAGTTTAGGAAAGAAAATAGACAATTTATTATGATTTGGATTGGTGCTCAGCTGAGGAAGCTATTGAGAGGAGGTGGGAATGTTAGAGTGGACCTAATTGGAGGGAGTAGGTCATTAGCAAGTGCATGACCTTGAAAGGAATATTACAACCTTGGTCCTTCCTTCTTGCTCTCTGCTTCCCAGATGCTATGAGGTGAGCAGCTTGCTCTACCATGTCCTCCCAGGCATGACATTTTGCCACACCACAGGCCCAAAAGCATTGGAGCCCATTGATTATGGACTAAAACCTCTGAAACTGCGAGCCAAAATAAACCTTCCCCCTTTTAAGTTGTTTATCTCAGGTATATTGTCACAGGCAAAGCTGACACATAATTCAACATAGTAAATATGATGTAAGGTGATAATTGTTAATGATTAAAGCATGCTTGAGGTATCATGGAAGCACTGAGGGGAGTGGTACTTAACTCCACCTGGAATAGTCATTTCCTGTAAGTAATCCAGGAATGAAGACTTGCAGGATTAGTAGGTGTTTTCCAGTAAAAAGTTTGAAAAGAATGTTTCAGACATAAGCATAAACCTGCATTGGAGGACTGTTATACGTGGGCCAGCTACAAAAAATGTTTTGCATTATATGAGTTATTTTCAAACTTTTTATCTGAAGAATTCTGCAAAACTAAGAAAAAGGTGCATCTATCATTGAAGTGGATAAGGGTCCTGGTGCTCTACCCCTTACTAAGCCCTTGGTTTAGGGCTCCAAAAACGTCTAGTTGGAAATCACTAGACCAACTAGTTTATCTCTAAAGCTTCATTTAGCTCTGAAATGCCAGAGTCTTACAATTTTAAAAAATATTATGGTGTAATGCAAAGGGCCATTTTAGAAATCAACTGTCTTAACTCTGCCACTGGTATTATATGTACATATGCATGTATGTATGTATGTACCTGTGCATTCATCCCTACACTCTACTCTATCCTCTTTTTCTCCTGAAATCATCTGCAGACCAGTATGGTCCTGGACATCTCACCCTTTTCACAAACACCTCCAATAAATATCCAAAATTGGCCTCTTAAACTACTTCTCCTGCTGAATTACTATAACTGGTGTTCATTTTCCCAAGTCATCAAGCTCTTTAAATTTTTTTATTCGCTTTGTATATGTTCTCTTTTTCTCAATTCTGAGACAAGTGATGCTCATTTTAGAAGTCCTTATCCCATAAACTCTTTTGTGAAATCTTCTTTGATCACCTTGGACTTTCTTTAATCCTCATGGCACTTGATACATACCTCCCTGTGGAGGATTAATTAATGGTCAGCTTAAGTGGGAATGCCCAGCTGAACTGGGTCAGCATGGTTCCGGGCATGGAAGATCCACCTGAGGGATGTTACCAAAATGACATAAAAGGAGAACTGGAGAGGAAAACTGCACGCTGATGATTTTCCTGAAGAAGATGCTTTTCAGAGGTTTTTTCTTCAAAAGAGCTTTGGCTGCAGCTGCCTTCCTTCGAGAGAGCGTCAGTCCTCATCTTCATCCTGGATGTAATCTCCTGGCTCCAGTGCGGATCTCTCAGCCTTCGGGTACAGGTCCTTCACTCTGCGGGGTCAGGCTTTCTAGCTTCCCCCCTGGCCCTTGGGATTTTCCGGTGCAGATCCTCGATACGGACTTGCCCGGGGCAGTGCAGAGGGCTCCAAGCCTGCAAATCCTTTGGGTCTCCAGCGTGCACACTTGCACTCTGCTACGTCTGTCTCTGGTAGCAGTGCCTATTACTCTCCCTTAAGCTCTTCTCCTTTTGGAAACCTTCCTTATTACCTGTGTTTATTTATTTATTTTGTTTGTTTGTTGTCTTTGTGGTGCTAAGAGTTGAACCCAGCCCTTGCCCTCTCAGCAGGCTGTACCCATGCTCTGAATTACACCCTGGCCCTTAATATTTTTAAACTTTTATTTTCTCATCTTAAAGAGAAAGAGTTAAATAAGATGATCTGTAAAAGTTTAAGCTCCAAAAAGACAATAATTTTCTTTTACTACTGTATTTCTGGGTGGCTAGAACAATGCTGAGCCTATAGTTGGCTCTCAAATACTTGTTAATTAGAATTTCCTTTCAATTCTAACAAGATTTTTGGTGGTGCACAACCATTTAATCTTTTCAAAGTCAGTGTAATTTACTTTGTCTTTCCAGTTCTCAAGGTATTTGACCTAGTCTTGTAAGTATGGGGATTCGGGAAATTTAGGGAACAAGATATACCATAAATAGTCACTGCTAAGATTTAGAGATGCTAGTGATTCAAAGATATTAAATCGGCATTACCTTTAAAAGATATAGAATGAATACTGAAAAATGTTAAAAACATGACTAAAACTCAAGTAGGTTTAAAAATGAGATTTAAAAGTCTAATCTGTATCAACCTGACATATGATTAATACTCGTATTTAAAGAGTATAGTCTATAAACTAAAATTTGCTTAATCTGTACTGACAGTTAATTATAACAGTACTTATGTGGATGGAATGAGGCAAGCAAAGACTCAGTTTTTAAATGTGAGGTTAATGAGCTGAACCCTCTATCTTAAAACCTGTCATATGCACTTATGAAATGGGGCATAATATTTCCATATAGACATGCAGAGGGATGATTCACTTTTGTAGCTATAGTTATTTTGAATTTTTTCTATGCATTCTTCTTTGGTTTCCAGCTAACAAACTTAACGGATGCTTCTCCATAATTTTTCCTCTGTAATGTTTAATACAATAGACTTGGCTTGCAGCTATGTTTTCCTTTTACTCAGACAAGTCTCTCCACATTACCCACGATCTTTTTGGCTGCTCCTTCTCAGTCCTGCACTTAACTCTGATGTATGTGTGAACTTTTGATCAATTTTCATTTGACTAATTATTCTCAGGCAGTTTCACCCATAATCATAACTCCAACTACTCTCTACTCATTTATTTCAAGAGCTACTGAATACATAATACATGCCAGGCACTGTTTTAGGTGTTTGGAATATATCAGTGTACAAAAAGTCTTTGTTGTCTTGCCTGTGTTATAGTGTGAGATGACTATAGATAATGTATAATAATTATATATATTATATATGTCAGAGACCAGAGGGCAATTGAGGCCTAATTTGCATCCTCTGTGAGCTCAAAGGAGAAAGGCTGCACTCAGGGATGATTGCACATTAGGGAAAACTTAAGACAGCTCAGGTTAAGTTGTTTACCAGAGCATGTACTAATGGATAGTGGGAAGCAGATGAATCTTGTGTTATTTTGATTGCTTGTGCCTGTGTTTGGGTAATGAAGACAAGATGAGCCAGACTCTGGGGGCTCCTCTGCCTACTAGAGAGAAGAGACCCTGGCTGGTCACGTGTTAAACTGACTCCATGTCCCTGTCATTCATCCTCATTCACCCCTGGGTCAGGGAGAACCAAGTAGAGGGTCTTGGTCCCCCACAGGTGGCACCTGGGTGTGGAAAGCTCTGAAGGGTGAGCTTGCTCCCCACAGGTGGTACCTGGGGACTGGAGGTGAAGGCTGGCTGAGTGGTCGACTATATATATATATATATGAATGAACATGGCAAGCAAACAAGTGCTGTGGAAAACAAAAAGAGCAGGGTAAGTATGGCCATGCTGGGAGGGGCATGAAAGCATTGTTCATTAAGTAGGAGAGGGCATTACTGAAAGGTGACATCTGGAGAGAGACTAAAGGAGGCTCAAGGACTCAAGGAAGAGAATGTGTCTGGAGTGAAGAATAAGGGCGCCCGTGGGGCTGAAAGGGTGAAAAGGATGGGAGTGGTAGGAGGAGGACAGGAGATGGGATGTCACATCATGAAGAGTCTTTATGGATCAATGTGAGAACTTCACCCTTCACTGTAAATAGACGTGTCAGCATTGGAAGTTTTGGGTAGAAGTGTAATGTGACCTGTCCTTTGCTGAGAATTTGCTGTAGAATGAAAGGAAAGAAACCACTTAGTTTGGAACAGGGTGATAGCAGTGGAATTGGCTATATTCTGTAAATTGCTTACAGATAGAACCGATATTGTAATAGAGTAGATCTTGGATATACTACAAGAAAGACAAGCTGGCCAGGTGCCACATGCCAGTAATCCTAGCACTTGGGAGGTTGAGGCAGGAGAATTGCTGTGAGTTCGAGGCCAGCCTGAGCTACACAGTAAGTTCAAAAACATCCTGAACTACCTAAGGAGATGCTGTCTCAAAAACAAACAAAACAACCACATCAGGAATGTCAATATATATCTAGCAATCTACCTTCCTCACGTGTGTACTTGGATAATTTTTAGGCAATGCGAACTTCTCTATCTGAAGCTGACTCTTGTGATGTGGGTTCTGTTTGATTTTGTTTTGGTAGGACCAGGGATTGTGTCCAGGGCCCTCCCACTGAGCTACATCATCAGCCCTTTCTTATTTTTTATTTTGAGACAGGGTCTCCCTAAGTCAGAAAGTTCCCAGGCGGGCCTTGATCTGGCAGCCTTCCTGCCTCAGCCTGCCAGAGTTCTGAGCTTATTAGATGTGTTCCACGGTGCCCATCATCTTGTGAAATATCTTCATAAGCTTGTGACACAGCCATTGTCACAGGCTAAATATTGCCCCTCAGTGTGGCAGAAGGGACCTCACAGGTGTGATTAAGACAAGGATCTTGAGATAGGAGATTACACAGGTGGCCTCTGTAATTGCGAGAGTTTTTAGAAGTGTCAGAATGATGGATACAAAGTCAGTGAAGGTGGCACAAGTATGAGGACTTGTCAGGAGGAAACTGCCAAGCGACACAGGTGGTCTCTCACCGATGGCAAAGCAAGGACACAGTCTCCCCTAGAGCTTCCAGAAGGGACCAGACCTGATTTTAACCTTGTAAGACTCACTCTGGACCTCTGACCTTTAGAATTATAATACATTCGGCCCCTAGACATGTGGGGATTTGTTGCAAGAGCAACAGGAAACTAAAATAATCATCAATCCATCTCCAAATTTAGAGATCTGAACACTGGTGCTCCCTTCTCTTTGATTCTTCACTTCTAATCCCACTGTCATACTGTTCCATCTTTATTCTTCTGTTACTGCTTTAAGTTCTCATAACTTTCCTCCATAGGTCTGATATCAAAGGGTGGTAAAGGTCAGGGAAGACGGTGTCTGAGCAGAATTATTTCTCCTCTCAGAACTATTATAAACACATGTATAAGCAAAGCAATCACAGCATGCATGCTGTACAAGTGCAACTTTGTAATTCTTCTAATCACCTCTTTTAAAAACCAGATTACTTCTATATAAAAGTGATCTTTTATTTAGATCCCTCCTATATAGGCCTCTTCCTATACAGAAATTCTGGGCCTGCTATTGTACTTAGAGTGTTGAGTAGTCTACTAACTAGCTTCCCTGTACCCCAGTCTACCTTCCCACAGTTCGATCTTCAAATGGGGGCTGACAAATCTTTCCATTGAACAAGTTTGACCTTCACTGAGTATCACCATGACAAATTTCAAATTCCTCAATATGACCTAAAGTCTTTCAAGGTATCATTTCTTGCTACTACCTGATTCTCATCTCACTTTCTAACTATTATTAAACTTATATTTGGTTGTTTGAATGAATAAATAAATGAGATCAAGAAAAAATAATAATGTACAAACAGATGTGCATTTGTTGGAAACAAGTTTCCTCTGGCTTTAGCCATGCTCTCCCTGCCTAGATTACATTTTTTCTTCAAGGCAAAGAAAAGGAACTCTCATCTTTTAAAGATTAATTTAAGGGGGGAGAAGGAGGGAAGAAAAAGGGGATGCAAAAAGAATTAAAAAGTGTGCACGTGCCAGTTCCCCACAATGAATGTAATCATTATGTACTGCAGACGTGTAGTAATAAACAGAAAAATTAAAAAATCAGTTTAAGACAACCCCTCTTCTAAAGAGCCTTCTCAGATACATATTCTCCCTCGTAGTGCTAACAATTTCCTTTTATGCTCTCCATAACTCTACATGCTTCTATTTTCACTCTTAACAATATAATTAAGGTTTTTTTACATTCATGTCTCATTATTGCCCAAGCTCTCCAAAACCAGGAAATGTGTTTATCTTGTTTTTGTATCTCCAAAAAATAACATAAGTCTTGGCATTAGGAAATACTTAATAGATGATTATTGCTACTTTAACCAATGATATCTCTCTTTACTACTTACAGTCTGTCACAGGGTGGCATTTGAATGTTTGTTGCAGGTCTGTTGTAAAAAAGGAACAAACAAGTTCCTTTCTCTTAGTAATTAATTCTCTCTCTGCCCCAGGGACTATGTAAACACTTCATCATTATAATGGGAAAATTATCAAACTGTATTATATACAAGGGAAGGTGACCAAAAAATGATGATGTTCTTTAGAAATAAAGAACAATAGATAGTAGGAAAATTAAGGTATTTATTATGAAGACATAATAGCTGTGTTCAAATATTTGAAGTTTTTGTGTAGGAGAGAGAGAAAGTAGACTGTTCTTTATAGCTACAGGGGCAGAACTGGAGAAATGGAGGCAGATTTCAGCATACGATGAGGAGGAATCAAAGGAAGATGTATCAAAATTCACTTCAACAAAATCTTAGGTAAGCACTTACTATGTACCTGGCATGGTTCTAGGCACTGAAAGTGAAGTAGTGGTCAAAGTTCCCGTTCTCATAGAATTTACTTGTGAGAGATAGTGAACAAATAAGTCAATGAAAAAAGTGAACAGCAATTAAAAAGATCAGTGATCAGTGCTATGCAGAAAATGAAAGAAGTCTCTGGTAATGAGAGTAACTTCTTTAGACTGGGTGACTAGAGAGGGCTCTCTGATGATGTTAACACTATAATCCAGCTGATTGAAAGAGCCAGCCATAGGGAGGTCCAAGGGAAGAGATTTTCAGTCTACAGGAACAGTTAGGATAAGATCTCAAAGAAAGAATAAAACTTTAAAATGTCCAAGAAACACTTGAAAAGTCTGTGGAGCTGAACTACAAAGACCAGGAGAGAGTAACATGAGACCAGATCTGTGAAAATATTGAGGGGCCATTTATTTAGTTTTATTAAAAGGGGTATTTGATACTATTCATAGTAGAAAAACTGGGGGATTTTAAGCATAGGTGATATGAGCTATTTTATATTTTTCAAAGTTCACTCTGATGTCCAAGTCAAAAATAGGTTATAGGGATTGGGAGACGTTCAGAACCTTCTGCCTTTATTTAGGCTTTGCCTAAATTAGAAATGCAGGAGATGAAAAGAGGAACAACTAATTGGGATATGTTTTAGAGATAAAGGCAAAAGGACAACCTGCTGTGTTGGTGAAGGACAGAAAAAAATCAAGAATAAACCCTAGGTTTTTGCCCAGAGGTTGTTAACCAGGTGGGAAGTTCAGGGGAAGGAGCCGATGGCAGGCAGGGGAGGAGTTAGGTCAATGTTCTGTTTTGTTTCTATTAAGATTGAGATGGAAGGTGGCGATGTCAAGCAGACAGTAGGAGTCTGGAGCCAAGAGGAGAGGTTCGAGCTGTAGATAAAGATCTGAAAGTCACTTGCATGTACAATAAAGTCCTGGGACAGGGTAACTGGGGAAAGTGTATAGCTGGGAAACAGACTCCAGGCAAAGGATTGATTTATCTCAGGAAACAGTTAACTCACGACTACTATAGTTGTTCAAGCAGGGACCAGTGAGCATCAGCCAGAGATACTCTGCAAGAGGCTGCTACCCAGGATAAATATTTGCCAATGAATTCTCAGGCTCCTCTCATATCTAAAATTCTATGATTCTGAAAGATCCAAGTTATGTTGTGGTACAGAGAACTGGCCTGTAATGAATTTTACCTTGTAAATGCATCCAAGTCAAAATTTATTAACTTTAAAACTGTCCCTTAAAATAGTTATTAAAGGGGGCTGGGAATCCATGCAGCTGTAGTTGTAAAGGACCTGCTCCTGCGTGTGTGAGGTCCTGGTTTCCATGCTCAGCACCCATCGCCCCTCCAAAAGTTATTAATGAGCCTTTATCCTGTTCCACTTTTTATTTCTTTCATTTTTTCTTTCAATTTTCCCTCTCCCCCTTCATACTTAGTTCTTTCAATTTTCTCTCTGTCTTACTCTATTTTCTTTCCCACAGGTTTGCTGAGGCTACACATCATACCCATTACTGAGCCCAGGTAGTGACATTTGGCTTTAGAAATTGCTGATTTCTGGTGCAGTTACACATATGATGATTCCTTAAAACAACAAAAAGTACTATTTGGAGGTTTTATTTCTTGATAGTTCCAAGCCACAGCTATCAGTCCATGTACTTGGGTAATCCTAAAAGAATACAATCCACTGCTTCTCCAATAGCACAGTGATACATAATTAAGAAATATCTGTTTCAGGCAGAACCTAAGCTGGTGTAATCTTTCTCTGATCCTATCTTTTGTTTTTCTTTGCATACCTACTCCTGACATTGTGCTTAGTATAGTGCTGTGCACATAATAAGGTAATAAATATTTAATAAACTAATGAACAAATGTACATCTTTTCTAATTACACTAATACCTAAAACCAAAGAATAAATTGGAGTTGATGCAAACTAGGTAACTTCAGAATGTACATTAGAGTCTAAAAAGATGTCATAGTGAAGATTTTATTTTCATAAGACCCTCAGTAGTAGTTGGCAGATTGATAGGTGAAGACATGTAAAAATTTGCCCTTATAACAGATTGCAGTCTTGTTTTGATTTTTCTCAATTTTAGAGAATTTGGAGTCAAATTTGTCCATGTTTAATCTGCAAATTGGGAACAATTGAGTTTAATAAGTATTATTGGGCAAAGATATATATATTCTGAATTGTGCTTTGAAGGTCAACTTACACACTATGTATAGGCTCCGTGTTCTCAAAAGAACAGAGCAGAGAATTGCACAAAAAGAAAGTGGCTGCAGAGAAACCTGCATTTTCTAACATGGCATTACATTTAGCACTGACATGTAAACTGTACAGCAAAGAACCACTAATGATTTCTTGGTACACAATAATGTGCTTATAAGTAACATTTAGTGAATACACAGTGATGGAATAAAGGAGTGAACAAATGAGAAATTAAGTCAGGATTCCTGACCCATGCATCGCCACCATAAATATTAGTTGTAGAAAGAAGTATTGTAATCCCCTGAAGATAACTTTTTCTTTCTATGGTAAAAACATATAAGCGTATTACCTCCATATCAGTGCCAAGTGACAACTTCTGTCTTGAAGATAGTTCTTTGTCTTCTTGAGAAGCAGTTGCACAAAATCAGGATTACCTTTTCTGACAAAAACCCAGTACAAAATTGTATTCACACATATTTCATGAAATTCAAGATGAAAACTTAGTTCAAAATGGTATCCTGATTTTTCCACAAATGCAATATAATCTGTGAGAAGCAAGTCAAAGCTATCCAAGTTGATATACCTCAGAATTTTTGCCAGTGTTCTGTAAATCCTAGGTTCATAACAGTGGTATCCCCACTGACCCAAAAGTTGCAAAGAGAGTCTCTTAATAATTTTGTCAATGAGGTGGCAGAACAGGTTGCCGTTTGGAAAAGAAGTCTTATGACATAATTTAAAGTGTTTACTCATTGCCTCTTAAGGCAACAGTATTAAGAAAAATCACAGGTAATTTTGTAGTAATCCTTCAGTTTCATATTTTGATAACATGGTAGGCTTTACTCCTCAAAAAGTGCTCTTTAAACTGTAGCCTGAGAAAAGCTCACATGAAACATTACCATGAAGTTCTGGATGACATCACAATAGATGCAGTTCAGTCATCAGCTTGGGTTATTGTATATAACGGGTGACATTTGAGAGAGACATACTGGACAGAAATGGTATTTGAGAGTGCTAAGATACAGTAATTTTTTTAACTTCCCAAGAATTCAGCCCAAGCTCTCTGTATGTTTCTCAAGTGCTAAAATCACAGTCTATGGATGGCTGGACTAAGTAACATGAATAAACATTATTTTTTGTAGGCTATCATGTAAGCAAACATAACCAAGTACCATTTTGCTCATGTTCTGCATGAATTATTGCCTATTCTTTAATTCTCATGGGTTATTTTCCTTATTTTACACTGAGGAGACTCATTAGATTAGTGAAGTATCTCACAATTTGGCACCAAATTCATTCCCAGAGAGAAAGGCTGGAATACCATATTATTTTCTAAATTTAAATTTTATTGGTACAGTTTAGATGTACGTAATGATCACATTCATCATAGGGAATTTGTACCTGTATGTGATGTATCTTGATGGAATACCATATTAAACACAATTCTGAAATTTTGTTTTAGAACTTTAAATCTTACAATCTATAAACCAGGCAGAATATACATAATTTTGGAGTTAAAAGTACTTGAAACTTGGTATGACATCCTTGCCCCAGTAAAATAAGTTACAGTTGTTTGATTATTTAGTAGTTTATGTTTTAACCACTTTTCTATGTCATTCACAGAGTGATTGGTCTGAGATGTAACAAGCTTGGATGTATGTGTTATTGTTGTTCTGAGACATGATCTTGCTACATTGCCAGATTGGCCTTGAACTCTCAAGGTCAAGTGCTTCTGCTGACTTTAGCCTCCCCAGTAGCTGGGACTACAGGTATGTACCACCACACCCAGCTGTGTGTATTAGCAATTTCTTTTTCCTGTGTTACTGGGGATCGAACTAGGGGAGTATTGAGGTGCACACCCACGCCTTTTCTGTTTTTATTTTGAAACAGTATCTCACTAAAGCACCCAGGCTGGTTCCTGACATGTAATCTTCCCATTTCAGCTTCAAAGTAGCTGGGATTATAGGCCTGTTGCCACCACCACCCCTCAAACATTTTGAAAAGCAGTTAAATGTTCTCTTTTTCCCCTTGTATATTTTTCTTTAAATCATGTGAATGATTTCTCCATATAAGAGGAAATTATAACTTTGAGTTTACTGTAACATAATTGTACCAATATTGTAAACTCTAAACTCTTTCTTACCATGATGACCTACCTAATAACTAACTATTGTCATCTTTCTGAAAACCAAGGATTTTGTTGTTTCTCTGTTTTCCTTCTTTTTTCATACTTTCCACCTCAAAAGTATATTTTTAAGTTGAACCATTTTATTGATTTCTTAATAGTACAATACATAATTATATTTAACAACTGAAACATTATAAAGCCAGTAGAAATTTCTCCCTGAGATAATCACATTGGCAATTTTACATATAGCCTTTCAAATATTTTTGTGCTTCTGTACAGATATAAATAGATATATTATTATATACTTTTTATACAAATGAGTTAAAATTACACTTATTTGATTCTATGAGTTGCTTTTTTATGTAACAATATATTTTGGGCATCTTTGTATACCATATATAATAATAGCTCTTAAATACCACTTACTGTATACAAGGCATTGTTTAAAGTACTTTGTATATTAACTTCTTTAATATTATGATTTCTCCAAGATACAGAAGCTGAGGTATAGAGTTTCTTGGGAAAGAGTGGATTCCAGCAGGTTGGGGCTAGAATCTTCATCTCTATTCTCTTGCTGCTCCACACCTCGAGAGCTATCTTTCCATTTTTACGGCTAACTTCTGAATATAGGTCCTGAAACAAGAGGTCTGCAGTGATATATCAACAAAACAGGATATTTGATAGAATAATCCTATTATCAAATAAAAGTGTTTCAGAATAGACATTAAAGTAATAATAATATAAATCTCTGGGTATTTAAATGAGTTATTTCTCCTTTTTCCTTTTATGATTTTCTTTATGAATGTCAGTAAATATATATTTTCTGTAATCAGAAGGAAACAAATCATATTCATTTTGAATATAATAACCAAAATATAGTCAAAATTGGTGCTGCAATACTTGTTTAATTTTTTTTTTTTTTTCGGTACCGGGGATCGAACTCGGGTCCTTGAGCTTGCAAAGCAGGCGGTGGAACCACTGAGCTAAATCCCCAGCCCCAATACTTGTTTAATTTTTTAAAAATTACTGATGATAAAGCTAAAAAATATATTTAGTAGACAATTTACTGGTTAACAATACTAGTTAAGATATATTGAGTTCTTTATGTACTTACTAGGCAAGTGCTTTATTTGCCTTTTTTCATTGAGTTTTCGTAATTCTCTACTATGATCCACATTTTATGATTAAGGAACCTGGGGTTTAGATGGGTTAAACCACTAGGCAGAGGTCCTACAGCTAGTGAGTAGCAGTGATTTGAACCATTTGTGTTCTTTGCCTTTGGGCATAGCAGCCTCATACTATGTTGTACTATGACATTTGTCCAAAGCAGAGTTTATACATCTCATGGTCATTCAAAGGTCCAGTAAAATCCTTAGAATGGCACTGCAAATATATTCAACAGCTTTAACAAATACTCTGGCTTAAAAAGGTTGCATAGATGTTTCAGATATTTTGTAGTAATGACTGAGAAATAGTAAGTTTTAACTAAATGTCTTCATTTTTTTCCCCAGTATTTAAAATCGAATCACCCAGGCATGGATTTTGTGTTGGCCTTTGAGGCCTAGGTGTTATCTGGATGACTCCTACTTGAAACTATTATTACTCATTAATCCTTGAGATAATTAATTTTTATTAGATGCCTAAACCTGTGACCTGGCTGACCCAGGACAGCTACATTTAATTAACAAGGAAGCATATCAGGAAAAACTTCAAAGCAATAGCTTAAGGATTGGGAAAACATAAATGGTGTGACACGACAGCCCTACACAGCCAAAAGAATCACCTATGTGTGGAGAAGTGTCGAGGACAAGTGGCTGGCTGAACACTTTCACCAGAGATGAATTTCATAGGCAAATGAGAGGTGAGTGACAGATCATGTAGTCTCAGCCAACTGCAGAACAAATGTCAGCACGTAAGAATATCCTTCTGATGGGTTCAGCAATACAGGTTTTACATAATTATATAAAATTATAAAGTTTGCAGAAATTCTGCCTACTCTTCAGCTTGTATTAGCCCTTTCCCCAGGCTTTGCCATTCTCAGTACCATCCATCTCTAGTATTGATTTAGATATTTAAAAGAAGATAAAAATTTAAAGCATAATTGAGAGAATAAAGGACTTCATAACTTTTAAGTATGAGTAGGGATCAGTGTATATTTCCAAAGGCAAAAGGGAGAGTGTGTGTGTATATGTATATATATATATATATATATAATAGAATGCTTTCATTATATGTTAATAATTCTACATCAATTTTAAAGAATATCTGAAGTTACAAAAACAGATACAAAAATCTGAATCTTTCCAAACTGAACTTTTACTGTTCTTATCATGGATTGAGACAACATTCAGGAAACTGAGTCAGAATTTTTGATTCCTCAGAACTTTGGCTTGCACAAGGTCAAAGAAATGTTGATCAGACTTGTCTGTACCTCACAACTATACTCAAATTAGTAATTCAATTTTTAATTCAATTTTCCCTCAAACCATTTTTTTTTGCAGTATTGGGGATCAAACTTAAATCCTTCTCACTGACATATCTCCCTAGCCTTTTGAGACAAGGTGTCCCTAAATTGCTGAATTGCCTAGGCTGGGCTTGAATTTGTAATCCTCTTGCCTGAGCTGCCCAAAATGCTGAGATTATAGGTTTATGCCACCATACCCAGAATCAAAGTTTTGAGCCCAGCTGTTTTAACTCATAGATCCCTGGCCAATTTACATATGAGTTTTTCTTCAGTCTATCTCTTTGGATTAGTCAGTTGTGGCTAGGGAAGGCAGAGACTACAAATATCTAATATCACAGTTAAATTTTTAGAACAAACACAGAGACTATTGATATGAAGAATATTAGAAATGCTTACGATTACTTACAGAATATAAGCACATATATGAATATTTTAATTGTTTAAAAACCAGAGTCTAAATCTATTCTTTTTAATTTATACTTAAAATTTTCACCACAATTTTTATTCTGGGATTGTGAGGAGCCTATAGCTTCTTTGTCACTCTTCCGTTGAGGTGTGCAATGCTCTTTGAGGTGAATTCCTAAGGCAGAAGAACTTTAAAATCCAGATTTCACTTTTATATGTGGAAATCATATGGTCTTTCACCTAGGTAAGAATATAAGTAAGATTCTTTACTTCCTCCCTCCTCAATGAAATATTAACTCCCCCACTTCTGCTCATGCTTTCTTTTGTTTTCAAACACGAAACCCACTTTCATGATAAACTTAAGTGTATAGTACAGTAAGGATAATTATATGCACTTTGTACCACAAATACCTAGAAGTTTTTCATCTTGCATAACTGAAATTCCATGTCCACTGAGCAGCTGCCTCCCATTGCTTCTTCCCTTCAGCTCCTGGAAATGACCCTTTTACTTTCTGCTTCTATGATTTGACTACTTTAGGTACTATATAAAAGTAGGATATTTCTTCTTCCCTGACTAGCTCATTTCACTTAGTCTAATATCTTCTAGATTTATCAGTGCTGTGGCACAAGGCAGTATTTTCTCTTTTATTAGGCTGAAAACTGTGCCATTGTATGTCAATTCATTGTTAATCATATATAGTATGAAATTTTCTTATGTTTAACTTTTAAACAGATTCATATATGCAAATTTTCTGAACTTTAGCCTACCAACTTTGCTCTTTATGCTTAGAAAGTCCATTCTCAACATCTCTCAAAATTATATGAATATTAACTATATATATTTAATATGCTTTTAATTTAAATATCTAGTCCTTTTCAAAACTTTTGGAATTCATTTTTGGTTCTACGTGAAGTAGAATTCTAATTTTATTTCCAAAATGTTACTTTTAGTTATCCTTTGTTTACTAAAATAGTCCCTTCGTATATATTATATATATGGATCTCATAAATAAACATTTCTGGACTTTCTACTCATTAGATTTATCTATTTGTGTTTTAGGGGATCAGTACTTCACAAAACAGTTTTCTAACTGGCCATAGGGATGCATGCCTATAAACTCAGATACTAGGGAAACTAAAGCAGGAAGATTTTAAGTTCAAGGCCAGCCTAGGGTACTTAGCAAGACCTTGTCTCAAAATGAGAATTAAAAAGGGCTGGGGTAAAGCTCTGTAGTAGAGTGCTTGCTTAGGATTCACAAGGTCTTGGGCTGAATCACTAGTACCATTAGCAAGTTTTCTAATTTTATGTCCTCTAATAATTGGCAGTTCAAATTCATACATTCTATGATTAATTTTTAAATATTGTTTTTATGTCACAAACAAATTCTCCCATATTGGATAGAAACTGTGCTTGGAGCATAAATTAACATGCAGAGGATAAATGTTTTAGAAAATGTTTAGATATTATATCTTCCCATCTAGAATCTTGAGATGTTAAGTCTCCTTTTAAAGTTAATAAAGTTTGTGTTTTCTTCATTGAGAATCTTAACACATTGAATAATATGTGTATTCCTAGGAATTTTATATTTTTGGGTTTTTTTCCCCAGAATTTATTACAGGAATATAGGAAAATTCTTGCCTCTTACATATGTATTTATAAGAAATTTTACTGCTTTCTTAATAGTTTTATTTTTCTTTTTTTACAGTTTTCCCTTCATGTTTAGCTGGAAATGATACCATCTGAGAATAAATATAATTTTAATTCTTTGTATACAATAGTTACAGATCACATTTTTGTTTCCTGCCTTGTTTATTATACCAGCTACAAATTTTAAGTTAGTGTTAAAGAATTCCTGCTTGGACATTTCTTACTTTCTTCCTACCTTAAAGGAAATGTTTACATTACAGGAAGGTTTTCCTCTTGCAGAATTCCATGGCAGAGTTTGATCTTGGCACTGTTTTCTGTGGAACCATGAAGAAGTGTGAGAATTCTTCATATAGTTCTTCAGGTAACTACCATCAGTCAATTGAAGATGGCAAGAAAAACACCCTATATGATATCTTTTCATCTTTCTACTATTAAGTGTGAACTTAATCAAATATTTTGAATAGCAATATACTAAATTTGATCAAAAGTCATTTTTTGCATCTATTGTTTTCATCATATGATTTTTTTTCCTTTGACCTACTGAATACCATAGCACCAGCCTTCTTAAATCTTTCACCCTCTTTAAGTTCCTGAGAAAAGCCCTACTTAAAGCCTTGGTACACTGATAAATGAGCTTTAGTTGTTAAGATTTTTTTGTATTGTATTTGTCATATCTAGTTTACAAATGTAGATTATGCTAGCTTTATAAAATTATATTTATTTGTTGAAAGCTTAAAGGAATTTTATAAATATTATATTTCAAACATTTTAGTCTCTTTGTTGTTGGATTATTTTTGTGTTATTTTTATGCACTTCCAGGAAATTATTGATTTTCCCCTATTTGGGATGTTTTCTGCCATTACTTCTGTGAACAGTTTTTTTAAGTCATCTGCACTCTCTCCTGTTTCTTCATTGACTCTAATCAGTCTGATGTTATTCTTCTTTGCATCATCTAGCGGCTGCTGGATTGATTTCTCATGGTCCCTTACTATTTTTAAGAAATTTTTCTTTTCCTGGTCACTAATTGCAATCCTATCTTCTACATCTGAAATTCTATCCTTGCATTGGCTCATTCAGCTGCGTAAACTTTCAATGGAGTTTTTAATTTCCTGGAAATCTGTTTGCATCTGTTTTATGGATTCCATTTGTTTCCTATGTTGGAATTCCATCACGTTCCTCAGCTCCTCTATTTTTTTTTTTTATCTGTGTCTGCTCTAGATTTATTAATCATATCTTGCACTATGGGAACAATCTCTGCTCTTATCTGTGAAATTATTTCTGATTTCATTTTTTCCAGATCCTCTTTTGTTGCCAGTTCAGAGAGTTCAGGTGGTTGAGTATCAGAGTGTTCCATCTCATTTCCCTTTGGGGTTGCTGTAGGTGATCTGGAAATCTGATTTTGAGACTTATTTACATGTCTTCTTATTTCAGTAGATGCAGCCTGTTGTGCCTTTGTTGAAGTGACTTTTTGCTCACCCAGTGGTCTTGAATTCTCAGCAAGCCACCAAGCAGCCTTTACTCTGCTACTCACCAGTACACTAATTCCTGGGTTCAGAGTGGTGGCTTTCTGGATTCCTGAGCTGACCTGTTGTCTGGGTGGGCTTCTGACTGGGGCCTGTGTGGACTTGGGATGGTATCTAGGTGTGCCTCTCACTGGGGCCCCTATGTACCTGTTGTCTGGTAGGGCCTTTGTCTGGGGACTGTGCAGCCCAGTTCCTGTTGTCTGCACAGGCTTTGGCTAGGGTACCCACACACTTATCTATGGCATCAGGGTGAGCCTTTGGCTGTTGCTTGTATGCCTGTGTAGCTCTTTTCCAGGTTGGTCCTTGGCTGTGGCTGATGGTATGGTGGGCCTCTGGCTGAAGCTTGTGTGCCAGTGCAGCTCTTTCCTGGGCAGGCCTTTGGCTTGGGTGGGTGTGCCTGAGGCTCTGGGGTCAGGGTAGACCCCTGGCTGGGATCCACTCACAACTGCACAGGTCTGGACCACACAGCTGCTCCCCAGGATCTCCACGTAATTACCAATGGAATGGCATGCCTCTCAAAATTATTGATTTTAATGAGATTTTAAAAATTATTATAGTGGGTTACCTATAGCAATGTAGAAAATATTTTTCTGACAATATAGAAAATCAAGTTTACATCTGTTATTTCCTTTTCTTGTTCTTTGTGTACTTTGGTTCTTTTTTAATTTGTGGATTCAAAATTTTTTTATTGTATTTACTTCCAAGACTACTTCTTCCATTCATTTTTTCACTCATGCATTCATTCAATACAAATCCAAGGCCCTGTTATTTACAGAGCCCTCAGATGGGCTTGACAGGGACAGTGGTGAACTGGACAGATGTGGTCCTTGCTCCAAGGGGCTTACTGTCAGGGTGTGAAAAAGTTACAGCACTGTGAGTCCAAGGTGCAAGAAAGAATTCATATGAATATCAAGGAAACCCCTCTAAAAAATACTGTTTAAGCCAGGACTCTAAAGAATGAGAAAGTATTATTTAGATGAAAGGAGAAAGGAATATTTTTCCACATTGAGGAAATAGTTTATGAAAATACCTTGAGGCAGAAAATGGAAACTAAAAGAGGTCTGGAGCATTAAAAAAAATTCTAATGTTTTATTTCACTCATACTTTGATTTCTGATTTCACTAATATTGTTTTCTTTTTCTTTTTGCCTTAATTTTTAACAGCTTTTTGACTGCTAATTTTTCCTTCTTTTATTATCCTTATAGTTCAATTTAGTAAAAATATGTGGGGTTTTACTTTTTCCTTTGAGTGTCACTTAATCTATAATTTTTTTAATTTGACATATTCTTGTTCTTTTCTAAATTGTCTCTATTTGTTGTTTTGATTCCCCTTTTGGAATAAGAAACATTTAGTGAATAATTTAAGGCAATATATGTGTTGTAGGACAAAAATAGTAATATCTTTCCTCACCCATTACACAATTCATGGCTGAGAATCCCACAGGAATAACAAGAGAAAATCATACACATTCATTTAATATAAATTTTATGTAACAAAGGAGCCTTCAGAAATGAAGAGTCAAAGAGTCAGGGAAATCTGTTGTATTTTTATGAATAGTTCCACAGAAAGAAGTGCGATTGGAGCACAAAACATTACAGTCTAGTGTAGTGCTCGCTTCGGCAGCACATATACATTACAGTCCAGTGCTGATAAAGAGCAACTCAGCGAGGTCTATGTGTTCTGTGTGTACAACAAGAGACCTGTCATTCTAGGGAAGATGGGAGGAGGATGTCAGAGAGTGTCCTGCCCAGGCTTTATGGCATGCTTTAGAAAAGATGGCTAAGGGGAAGGTCAGTGGGCACACTGCTTCCCTTCACCCATCTTTTGGGGCCATACTTTACAGTGGTATGTCCTGAACCCTGTCAGTGTTATAAAGAACTTGCTATGAGGAGGTTTAACTTGCCTAATGTGGGAAAGGTACTAAATCTACCTAAAATAGTTGTAAAAAGAGATCTCTCTTTAAAACTATATATTTTTTCTGAGATGGCTTTACTTATGTTCACAATTTATAATTTTAGACTTCCAAAAGCTTTGGTCTTACCCCCCTTAAATAATTGTTAACTACAAATGTTAATTATTGCCAAAACAAATAAATACTAAATTAAAATTTTCTCCATTTTCATCACATTCATTTATAGTTACACTGATGTCATACCAATTTATATCAGTAATTAGATAACTATACTTTTTGTAGAGAGAAAAATTGTTATATAGATGTAAAATTAGTGGACTGTTATATATCCATGAATCATTGTTTCCAACTGTAAGTAATACTGACTCTCCTTTTCTACTACAGATGAAAAGAGGTGACTTCAATGCCTTTCCTATTATAATTCTGTGTGAAGCTAGCTTTGAGCTATCTTTAAATACAACTCAATGTGATGTGCTTGCCTAAGGCAACTGACATTTCAAATTGAGATTATTTTCACCCCCAAAGCAAGAAAGTCTGCTCTTTCCTGTAGTTACAGCTGTATAAATGAAGTTAATTTAAGAGGTCAGAATCTACCTTGTGACTTCTCAGATTTTTTCATTTCCATTACAAATCACTTGAGAGGAAAAAAGAGTAACTGACTATAAAATATATTGAAGAAAGAGTAGAGTAAAACATTATTAATTTAAACTCCCTTATTTTTGAATATCTGATCATCCAGGCTGAGGGGATTAGGGATTACTGTCATTGGACAAAATAATTTGCAATGAAAATCAATAAGAAATAATGATGGAGATTAAACTATTCACTTGAACAACCTTTTTGATCACTAATTGTTACAGGAGAGTACCAGTTACATTATGAACAAATCACATCTTGAATGACAATGCCTTCCTACTTTCTAGGATACGGTTGGAGAAGTGAGGCTATGAGTCTTGGTCTCAGGCAATGATTCTGTTGTTCAGCATCACACACAGGCTTAAGCCAGATATTACACATTACCCTCCCTCAAACAAATATAAAAATTTTCTAATTAATTTTTTCCTAATTAAAGTATTTTGTCAAAATAATCGCTAGTGTACCAGTTCATATTAGAACACAGGACTTTTTTTGGTTCTAGTTTCAACAAAGTGAAATTGGATATTTTCCCCCTGTGGAATATGAAAAAAAATTTTGAAAAGGAAGTTAGAAAATATAGATCCTCCTCTCACCCTACACTAAAATTTTGTGCAGTACAGGACTAGCAATTTTAATCCTTTTAATCCAAACTTTCCATAGCCCATCCCAGAGCATACCTTCCTTAACATCCACCTATTGATAAAACAGAATGTTGGATGCAAATGACCAATAAGGGGTCTTCTAGTGCTAATATCTTATGTACTACACTGAGAATGGAATCAAGTAGAGCCTGCTTATCAGCTTTTGAAAAATTTATTTATTTTGGTGCAGACTTCAGTTACTAGATTCACATCAACTGATCTTAAGAAAACAGGAAGCTTAGTAAACTGGCCAAGCCATCAATTTCCCACTTTCTCCAACTCTGAACTTCCCAAGAAAGTTTAGTAATTTTATCTTATCCACATATTTCACTTACTGAGTTTAAATTTTCAGTTATCTCACATCAAAACCTTTATCTCAGAGATTAAAAATGGCAGAGTAAAGCTTGGCACCAAAATATCGCCTCTGCAGGACCTACAATCAAGACACCTGGAAAACAACACTTTGGTGAAGAGAAAAAGAAGTAGAGCTCCGGGAATCAAGAAAGAGCTGAAGGAAAACTGGAAACCACAGAGAAATCGGAAAGAATGAAACAGTCTGGAACGTTAATCCTGGCTCCCTGGGAGGAGTTCCTTTCTGCACAAACCCTCTGGAGAGGGTGAGCACCCCCAAGGAGAAATAACAGATCCACACTTCTAACCCACAAAAAGTCCACAGTTATTGTAAACTGCAAATTCAGTGTGAGATTTTACTGTGAAAGTGATTTGCCATGGCAGGTTAGAGTTGGAGAAGAAATGCACAGCAGCACACACCATACTTGGGAGTGACTAATCAGAAACCATTTGGGAAGGGGTTTGTTTTTGAAGACTGAGCTACTCTGGGAATCAAAAGTCACAAAACAACTACCTTTCAGCATCTCTGGGGTCACCCTACCCCAGTGACTGAGAGGAAGATGGCCACAAAAGATAAAAGACTTTTATTGGTTCTTATGATATGTCAATATCTGGTTTGCCTCTCTGCTTCCTGATCACCATGATATGAAGTTTTTCTCAGACCTTTCCACCATGTCTTCCTGCCTTGGAGCCAGCTGATTATGGACTAAATTCTCTAAAAACCCTCTCAGCACTGGTCCCAGATCTGATCTACACATTCACCATCAACTTTACTTGATCATGTAGTCTTCCTGGTGCCAGCCATCTGGTGAAGTTTTATACGGAGAATTAAACCAAAGAGGAAATCGAATTTGGGAACTTGGGCTTGCAAGGAAGGTGGTGGAGCCACTGAGCTAAATCCCCGGCCCTTCACTGACTTATTTTTAATTGACAAAAACTGTATCATGTACAACATGTTGTTTTGAAATATGTACCCACTGGGGAATGGCTTATATCCAAATTTTAACAAAATGTAAAATGAAAAGCAAAACTCAAAAAAAAATCTGGTTTGTCTTTGACTCTAATATTATTACTGATTTATTTTCTATTAATGATATATGGTTGCAAAGTCGTTGCTTTTTCTTGGTTTGCTATATGCCAATGTCTGGTTTCTCTTTGTGTCATCAGTATTACTATGATTCATTTTCTCTCTGTGTGGTGCTGGGGATTAAACCTCAGAGGAAGGTTGAACACTAGGACGAACCTCAAATATGATACTGAAAAGATTGATAGAGGAGTGAGAACACCAACACATAACCAAACTCAAGGACACGTTACAGGGAGACAGAATCTAACTAGGACAGAGTGTCAGAAACAGAAAAGGTGGATGTAGTAAATTTTAAACTCAGTGATATCCTAAAAGTGTTGACACCATGCAAGCAAGATCCAACAGCTGATGACAAGAAAGAGGATGAAGTAGATGACACAGTGGAAGTTAGAAAAGGAGTTTTTGAGGTTAGATATTAGGACCAGGGAAAACAACCAACTGGATGGAATGTGTTAAAGGTCATAAAGACCTATGGTTAGCAGGTTGAGTGAGATGTTTCCTAAAAAGAGGGGACGTGCACAGAACATGGGACCCAAAATGACATCAGTCTTATGGCTGAGCACTGTGTGTCAATCAGAAAGTGCCAATCATTTGCATCTGGCACCATTTGTAGAACCAATCAGAAAATCCTCTTTTCAATCTTTCATTTGGCTATGGGTGCAACCAAAAGAACTGAAATAATTCTCTCCATACTGTTGGATCATAGTGGAAAGATGATAGAAATAAACAGCAGAAGAAGCCACAGAAATTATATAAACACATGGAAATAGAACAATATGTTATTAAATAGTCATGGCTCACAGACGAACTCAGGGAAAAAAATTAAAAAGTTCCTACAATCAAACTTCAGTGGAAGTACAACATACCAAAGCCTATGGTACACAATGAAAGGAGTTCCAAGAGGGGAGTTTATAGCGCTCAATGCACACACAATAAAGTAGAATAATCCCAAGTGAATAACCTAATGATACACTTCAACGTCCTAAAAAAATGAGAACAATAAAAATCTGAAACTAGTAGAAATGAAGTATAAAAAACAACAATTAATGAAATTGAGACAAAAATACAAAGGGTCAATGAAGCAAACAGCTGGTCCTTTGCAAGGATGGGAAAGTATATGAGGATGGCGGGGCGGGAGTGAAAGGGGAATAAAGAGGACCAAGATGCAATACGTGTATGTACCGGCTCTCCACGATGAGTGCATTGGCTATGTATCACAAGGGCGTACTAATAAAACACAGATTAGAAACCCTTTGTCTCCTACATTGCATCTTTCTGTTTAAATTTATTTTTAATTGATACATAAAAATAGAAGCTGGGTGTGACAGTACCTCCCCATAACCCCAGCACTCTGGGAGGCTAAGGCAGGAGAATTGCTATCTTGAGCCCAGTATCGGTGAATTAGTGACTTAGGGAGACAATTTCTCAAAATCACCACAGTGATATATGTGCACCCATGTTTATAGCAGCATAATTTGTGATAGCTAAAACTTGGAAGCAGCCCAAATGCCCATCAACTGAAGACTGGATAAAGAAAATGTGTTTTTTTTAATAAAATGGAGTACTACTCAGCCATAAAAATGAGAAATTAGAGACATTTATTGCTAAATGGATGCACATTGAGGCGATACTCTTAAGTGAAATAAACAGGACACACATGTGTAAATACCAAAGAGTTTCTCTAGTGTGAGAAACTGAAAGTGTAAATAAGGACTAAAAGGTATAACAGATAATGTGAAATAGGAAGAAAAGAGGCGAAGGGGAAGGGGAAGTGGGAGGAGCAGGGGAAATTGCAGAAGGGAATGGGATTAATATAAGAAAATGAAAAAATGGAAACAAAGCCTTTGTAAATAGGGAGGGCACGGGAAGGGGAAAAATTAACCAAGAGAGATTATGTAAAGGTGCAAATTTCCAATGATGAATGTCATTATGTTGTATACCTAAAATGTACCATTAAAGTAAAATTTAAAATAAAGAATGAACCAAAAAAAATTAAAAATTAAAAATGGCTGGGGATGTAACTCAGTGGAAAGACACATAATTCAATTCTTAGTATTGCAAATGAACCGACCAATCAGTCAATACACTGTACATATTTTGGAGCTACCCAAAATATATTTTGGTATACATGTACATTGTATCATTTTAAAACCAGGTTAAACATACCTACCTCCTCAAACATTTGTCACTTATTCCTGTTAATAGTGAGACACCAGGCTTGAATCTCTGGTCTACTTGGTGAATATAATTGAAATTTCCAGGATAATTGTAAATTCAAATGTTTGAACAGAGCTCATATTTTTTTCTTTATCAAACTGTTGTGGTATTTTTTTCTTTTTTGTTTTTTGTTTCATTTTGTTTTGCTTTGATTTTTTTGTGTGTTGCTGGGAATCAAACCCAGGGCTTCGTGCATGATAGGCAACTATGAAGAAACTTAACAGGAAACTCCCACACACTTAGTGGATTCTTTGCCCATGTTATTTTGAGGGCTGTCATCACAAATTATCAGTCTGGTTGGCTACAAAGGAGAAATTTGTTCTTTCACAATTACGGAGGACAGACATCAGAAATCAAGTGGCCGCAAGGTTGGCTCTTTCTGAGGGAAGATCTGTCCCATGCCTCTGCTCTGGTTGCTGACAGTCCTTGGCGCTCTTTTGTTGTAGATTCATCACTTCACTATCATCCTTATGTTCCCACGGTCCTGTCCCTTAGTGCCTGTGAGCGTGTGTCTCAGTTTTCCTCTTATACAGATCTGAGTGGATTAGGGACCTCACCAATCCAGTTGAAACTATGTTTTAATTGATCACATCATCTGCAAAGAGCCTACACAAGTTCACATTCACAGATACAGAGATT